TTGCAAATTGAGGTCATGTGACCGTGGGATGCTACAATTAGTCATAGATACAAACTAGATACAAGCCAGATTGCCAAGCACCCAAAATTTAGTCCTGTGACTGTGGGAGAGGATGGTTTGATGTTTATTGATAGATGGAACTATTTTACGAATCACGCACCCTTTCCAATACTTTGAATGGTCAATAAACTATTGGTGGTAAGTCAAGGACTATCTATAGAGGTAATCCTTGACTTACGACCACAACTGAGCTCAAAATTTCTGTTTCTAAGTGAAACATTTGTTAAGTGAATTTTGCCCCATTTTACTACTTTTCTTGCCACAGTTGTTAAATGAATTAACAAGCATGTTAAATTAGTACATGGTTGTTAAGTGAATCTGGTTTCCCCATTGACTTTGCTTGTCAGGAGGTCACCAAATGGGATCATATGACTTTGGGACACTACAACCGTCATAAATATGAGTCAGTTGCCAAGGGTCTGAATTTTGATCACATGACCATGGGGATGCTGTAAAAGTTATAAGTGTGAAAAACAGCCATAAGTTACTTTTCCAGTGACGTTGCAATTTTGAACGGTCACTAAATGAACGCACAGGGAGTCTTCACTAAGTCGAGGACTACCTGTACATTGGTGCTGCATTACCTTTAAAAGATGTTATACCTCTGCTGTGCACTAGAGGGCAAAATGAGACCAAGGCTCTATAAAGAAACTTCACTGATGCTGTAAAATTAATCACATTTGTAATGTAGTGGATTGAACATAGTTTAACAGTTGAAAAGGTGAGATCTTTCAGAAAATGTGCTGGGCAATATGCCTAACCACAGTTCCACCCAATTAATCAACTGCACACCTTTTCCAGGATTTTAATCCATTCCCCTTCCCCACACATTATCTTTCCCCCAGCTCTGGAGGAAAGTTCTGCAATCATTCACTTAGAGTACTTAGTTCTAATTTTTCTCAATGGGTTGAGTTTCCTTTTGTTTAAGAGAAAGAAGATTGACCCATTAAGCTATTGGGCATTCCCCCCCCCCCCCAAGGCCTTTAAAAAAATAATTTAAATGAGACTTCACTGCATATGCTGAGAGGTGGCTTCCTTTTGAAGACATATTGGTGAAAAGACTTCGTATAGTTACTTATATTTTACAAATTGCCCTCATTTAGAGACCACAATTGGGACCGGCAACTTGATTGTTAGGCTAAGCAGTTGCTAAGTGAAACTGTGACTGTGCTTAAGACCTTACTTCATCTTTCCTTTGCTTTACAGACATGCAAAGGTTGTAAATACAAGGATTTGTCAAAACGTGATTTTTTTCATCACTATCATAACTGTGAAGGATTGCGAAACAAGGCAGTCACTAAATAAGGACTACTTACATTATTTATTAAGCATTTGCAGCGTTTCCCCAGTTACAGTATATCCAAATAGCCCATCATGCCAATTAACAGTCCCTAAGTGGAGTCAATTGATTGGCTTTAAAGAAAGTGAATATTAACAGCTTGCAGGAAGAATCGGTTTCTTCATACTTATTAGATAATAATGTTAATTCTTCTCTATTCCACCATGTACCTTTCCTGAAGTTGTTCAGCAATGCATTTGTGTCTAGGCGTTTGTTTCCTAATTTAGTACTTTCTTAAGAGGAAAATATTTTAATTAAAGTACTATAAACTTTCAGATTTCACCTTGTTAGCAGCACCTTTGTCAACCTTGGCTGATTTCAGAAAATGAAGCTGAGCTGGACCTGGATATAATTTGGTTAAAAAATTACCAGAAATATCAGGGCTGTAGGCTAGAACTCAAACTTAAAACAATTAAGCTCTTGTTTCTTTTTGGCAACCACTAATTTTAAGAACTCAAGTCTATAAATGTTTTCCTACAATGGATATAAACAATTGGCACAATATCTTTGTTGTAATTACCCTGTGGTACATAAATTGCATTACGTTTATTAATGCTGATTGACAGGTATCATTAATCATCATTTATAAACCTAACCCATCAATGGCAGAAGGAAGTGTGAGACAATCCTAAGAAGCAAACATAACTGATTGGTGTGCAAAACTCACTGGCAGGCAAAAAGGAATAAAACCTTAACCAAGATAACGTGTCCAATCTGACTCAAAGAAGATCTCACCTGTTAACCAATTATTTATCTTAGTTTGTTTGATTTTATCCTGATTGAATAGAATAGAAAATTGAATTAAAAGCCAAATATTAAAAAGAAGTAAGAGAAAAGAAATAAAAGAGGCTATTAAATCACAAGGACTCACACTTTTCCTGTAATGAGAAATGTATGAATAGATGAGATTCCTGAACAAAGGAGAATTAATGGTGGTATCTGAACATACTTCCCATACTGTTTCTTTCATTTTGTGTAGGTGGATCATGTTAATATATTGCAGGCTAAAGTAATGTCCCACATCTCTCTTTAGGCTATGAGTCTGTTTCTCTTCTTGAACTACAGATGGAAGATTGGAGACCAAAACATATGAAAAATGGCTGCAGGGTTTGGGTTTGGCTAATCTAAAGAAAAGGATTAGAGATGACATGAGAGCAGTATTCCATTATTTGAGAGGCTGCCACAAAGAGGAGAGGGTCAATTTATTGAGCAGGGGACTGGACTAGAAGATCTCCAATGTCCCTTCCAGCTCCATAAATGCAGTCTAGTTGCCAAGCACCTAGAGTGGTGTCATGTGACACCCCCGGGTTGTTAAACATCAGAACTTTGAATCTGGGTTGTAAATCCAGGACTATCTGTACCCAAATTTGAAATGGATTCAAGAGTAGGCATTGGAGGTGACCATAGCTATGTTTGAATAATACAGAGAACCATAAATTTGCCAACTGTATTTTAACATAGCTTGTTATGAAAACTGGGCTGTGCTGCTAACTTTGTGGCTTCAGGTATAGTATAAAATCAAAATGCTGGATTAGGGAGGCATCTGTATATCTGGGGGCAAATTGCCAAACAAAGGTTGCATTGTCATGGCATGATGTAAGTTCTACCACATTTGTAGTGCATTATGATACACACATTTAGGGCAGAGCTTGTGGTGCAATGTTTCATGCTTGTTTCATGAAATCCAGGACTCTGCAGACCCCCTCTGTTGAGTGAAGTCAACTACTGTAAGTAAATAACAACAACAACAACAGTAGCAATAACAACAACAATAATAATGGGACTTTCGAATAGAGACGGATCATCATTTGGAATACAACACACCAGATATCACAGTTGTAGAGGACCGAAGAGTACAGTTTATTGATATTGCTGTACCAGGAGATACCAGAGTCGAAGAAAAAGAACTAGAAAAAAATCACAAAATCGGTGACCTGACCATCAAAACTACACGACTATGGATGAAACATATAACAGTGATACCCATTGTCACTGGGGCATTTGGTACCATGTCCAAGAATTTTATAAGATACATCAAGAAATTGCAGCATCCTGCAATAACACCAGCATAACTGCAAAAAAACTGTGCTGCTGGGAACATTGCATATTTTAAGAAGGTAATTGGTTGATACCTAGGACACTGATAGCAACCCATATCAACCATTAGCACCAGTCAATGGTATTTGTGATGCATTTTTGAATGTTCAGTTGACTGAGTTTCATGTTTAGTGAATAAAGTATAATAATAATCGGTACCATTGGTACCATGTCCAAGAATTTTACAAAACACATCAAGAAATTGCAGCTTCCTGCAATAACACCAGCAGAACAACAACAACAACAAAAAACCTGTGCAACTAGGAACTTCATATATTTTAAGAAGATACTTGGTTGGTACCCAAGACACTGGCAGCAACCCGTATAAACCATTAGCACCAGTCAATGGTATTTGCGACACATCTTTAAATGTTCAGTTGACTGAGTTTCATATTTAATGAATGAAATAAATAATAATAAAAGAGTTGTGCTTTACTTAACCATGGGAAAACGCTGTGTGTGTGAATATGAAGTCAGGGGAAGATGAACTTGGCAATAAACTTTGGGACAAAAGAGGACCATAGGATGGTTGAAATCACAAAGACCCCATCCTGTGTCATGATTATAGCTGACTTACCAGGGCTTCTTACTCAAACTAGAATCTCCCTCTAGCCCTCAGCCCGGACTAAATTGTCCCATCCCAGAAGTAGCATAATATTTCTTGCCATCACATTCCATGCAAATATTGAGACATGGTGGGGAGGCTGCCAGTAACATGGGAGCAGCCTTGGATCCACATCATTCTGATTGATTTGCCAGGTCTCACCTGGCACCACTTCCTTATCTAATGGCTCCTAATTAAAAAAAAAATCCAAAGCATCCCAACAGGTTTTAATTGGGTATGCCGTGTGCTCTAATTGATAAGGGGGGGAGTAAAGGGGGAAGCCCTCCATTGCTGCATTTTTGTGAATTGGGTCTCTGTCGTTCCTCCTTGACAGCCCAATATCGCTACGCGTTAAGGGTGTTGTGTGAAGGCTCCGTGTGCGGCCAAATTTTCCTCCCCGCCCCGGGACGGCAGGGAAGCTGCCGTGTGTGTGTGTGAGGCCAAACATTTTTCTTAGTCCGCTTGGAAGAGAAGTAAATAAAAATTCGCCTCCGTTGATGGCCTTCTTGGTCAGTGAGAGCAGAATTGCGCAAGCATTTTGTTCGGGTTGCCGGGGAAATTGCCCAAGTTTTCAACGCAAGGCTGCAAAAGAGGGAAGCCGCTGACATGCCATTTCTTAAACCGGGCGCACAGAGGGATATTTCTTTGACAGCTGCAGCCGCAAGGAAAAGGCAAGGAAAGGGTCACCATCCCTGCAGAAACGCGCAGCCCGGCGTCGCCATTGCATTCCTAGCTTGAGCAAAACCTTCCGGCCCACACACACAAACACACACACACACACAGCCTCCGCTGTTTCGAAAGAAGGGACCCCCCCCCCGTCCCCACCCCACGCTGTTCTTTCTGCTCCATTAAAAGTTCAGACTTCGGACACCATCGCCGGCTTTGGCCGCACTGGCTAGAGACGTAAACGGGGAGGAAGGGAAGGGAGGGAAGGAGGAGGGAGGGACGATTTCCAGCTCGCCTCAGCTCAGGGTAGGGAATCGGCCAGGGGTGAAAAAAGGAAGGCGCGACCGTCGGAGAGCGCGCGAGCCCGCAAAACCCTCAGCCTAAGGAGCGGAGAGCCGGAGCCGGAGCGCCCCGGGGGTAAGTAAGGGCTTGGTGCGAAAAACTGACGGGGCTCTCCTTGTCACTGGGGGTTTCCTCCACACTCCGCGCGTGCGCAGGGAGGTTCTAGTGAGGGGGTGAGGGTTTGTTTGAGGCTCTCTTTACCCTTTTTGGGACCCCCTCCTCCTTTCCGATGTTTCTGGGCAATGGGTTGCCTCTGCAGTCTGGAAAGCGTTGCGCCTCCAGAGAGGATCCAGGACACAGAGGCTTTTGAGACGTGTGGGGTGGATTCCATCGCTCGTTTTAATCTAATTCAATCTAATTTAATCTAATCTTTATTATTGGGCACAGGTAGCCCTCAGCTTGCAACCGTTCGTTTAGCGGCCGTTCAAAGTTACAAGGGCACTGAAAAAAAGTGACTTGTGACCGTTTTTCCCCCCCTACACTTAACTGCAGCATCCCCATGGTCACCTCATCCAAATTTGGCCACTTGTAACTGACTCAGATTTATGACAGTTGCAGGGCCCCTGGGGTCACATTGGCTTTTGCGACCTTCTGACAAGCAGAGTCGGTGCAGAAGCCAGATTCGTTTAACAACTAACTAATGCAGCAACTACAGTGATTCACTAAGCAACTGGGGCAAGAAAGGTCATAAAGTGGGGCAAAATTCACTTAAGAACTGCCGCGCTTAGCAACAGAAACGTGGGTCTTAATTGTGGTTGTGCGTCGAGGATTACCTGTACTTTGCCAGCTCTTCGAACTACCAGTGGGAAGGTAAAGAGATTGGCTGGATGCCGATGGAGTAGTTGAGTAGTAATGTGTTATAGTTGAAAGGAAGTCAGATGTCTTGACCAGGGTTGAATCATCCTCCAGCTACACTGGTTTCTCTGTCTTCTGCACTAGAGAAGGCAGCTGTCAATTTTTAAAGAATATTTTTTATTCCACCTTTAAGTACCGTAATTCAAAGTGGCGAACGTACCAATACGCCCATTTCCTCCTATTTTCCCACAACAACAACAACCTTGTGAGGTGAGTTGGGCTGAGAGAGAACGACTGGCCAAAGTCAACCAGCTGGCTTTATCGAAAGCATGCAAAAAGCAGTGGCACTAAGTGCTTGGCTGCCACCAAAGGAGAAATTTGCAAAGAAGCAATGAAGTTGCTTCCTCAAATGTTATGTGCAAATAAGTGTGAGCCCTGTTGCTATATATATAGACAGGCTTCTCTGGTTTAGGAACCATGTCAAAATGCCACAGCTGACCCTTGTGGTTAACTCAGTTCCTAATATCTACGGCACACCAAAATATCCGTTGCCTTTTTAAAAAATGGAAGGAGTGGGTGACAAATATTTGACTAAGTTTGTCATGTGCCTATATTCTTATGACCCAGAAAAGATGGGAAGTGTAACCAGTTGGTCTTAGGATATCGATATTGATTTTGGCCCCATCCAAAAGTAGCCTTTTGAGGGGTCCTTGATGTACTCTAATCTTGGTTGTTTTCTTGCAGGCGTTTCATTAGCCTAACCAGGTAACATCATCAGTGCTAGTCAATGAAATTATCTGTAATGAAACATCTGCAAGAAAACAACCAAGCTCAGAGAGCACCAAGGGGCCCTTATTTCAACTCTGAGCTACAAATATTTTCTTTTATTGGCAGTCTGTTGAATTTTGTTTCAAATGTTGCTGGTGCCCATTGTTGTTTTGCTTCAGCTAATGAAAATTGTTCTTACTCTTTCAGCTTTCTTAGCTTAAATGAGAGGGCTTATCATTATTTATTTTGAGTTTTTCTACTCTGTGGTTTGCCATGCCACCACACACACATACAAAAATAGAGGGGACACATTATCAGAAAAATATATTTTTTAATTTCCTAGTACTCTAATGCAAATAAATAAAAAATAATGGTATGAGCATTCAAACTTTTAAATGTGGTTTTCTTTCTTCCTTCGTTGCTTTGGCATAATTTGTAAGATGTTAGTGTGATATAGAAAATGCTTTAAAAAAAATAGAGAGCAGGTAAGATATGATTCTTTGCTATTAGAATTCTGAGATCAGGCTTTGGTGTTTGAATTAGTATTTTTGTCTTTTCAGAAAAGAACAGAAAAACAATGAATGCATATATATTCAGCTATTATTTAATTCAGTTTTGTGGACATTCATGGATATTTACCAACATGTTCATCAGATTTCTTTCATTTGGGGAAGGTAGGCTCATGTCATACATTTTACTTTTTGCTAAAGCTTGTTAATAAACAAATTAAGTATTAACTGAAGTAGATCTAACAGTGATATTGCTCTAGAAATTTGGACTTGAAAGTATAGAACCCTTTTTACCCATATATAATATGCATGTTAAATTCCCGCCCCCAAATGTAAGAGAACCATTGTATTTATATTTTTATTCACTGAGAAGCTATTTTGAAATTTAAAAAATAGTGACAATAGAACTATAAAATCAATCCAAATCAGTTTCCTGGTTGTTGTTTCTTAAAATTACATTCAGGAAACCATGGTTCATTTGTTTTTAAATATCCATTTATCTCTCCGATGATGGTCTCTTCATATTTTTCTTTGAAATCATGAGAAAAAAAAGGCTATCAAAATGACAGCCTGACCAAGCAGTCTAAGTGCTGCCCCTTTTAAAATTGTGCTTTATAAGATGTTGCACACAAAGGGGATGAGGTGAAGTGCCCTGTCATGCCTGCCATTTTGGCATTATTGACACCTTCGCTTACAGATAAACCCTGGGGAAGAAAGTGTAGGCACTGTGGGCCTAATCATGTCTTTATTGCAGTGTTTCCTTCAGACCCACATTTCTGACTTCCTGGTGTGGAACAGATGACTGAACGTGAATTATAAACATTAGCCTAAATGGAAGAGTAGTTCTGTTCACAGTTGGGATTCAGATGGTTGTGTGAAATAGGGTTGATTTAATCCCAGTTCCTGAAAAGTGGAAAGATTTTTAAAAATAAAGAACCAGTATTATAGATTAAGGCAAAGGTGCTCTAACTCTACAGTGTCAAACCCTGTAAATTGGAGGTGTCAAACTTGTGCCGTCATGGTGTCCTCACATTACATATCACAACTTTTTCCCCTTCACTAAATCGGGCATGAGCCTGCCCAGTGCATGACGCATCCAACCTGTGGGCCACAAGTTTGACAACCAATGATAAATGCAGATTCATTCCCCTTATGAATAAAACAAACTATGATTATGAAACTATGAATAGAACAGGCCAATGGGGTGGTTCAGCAGTTAAGATGCAGGGCTTGTCTGCTGGAAAGTCCGCAGCCCGGATTTGAGACCAAGTGTCACGCAAGCTCCTGTCCTTACCCCAGCTCCTGCCAATCTAGCAGTTTGAAAGCATGCAAATTCAAGTAGATAAATAGGTACCACTTCAGTGGGAAGGTAAATAGGTACTTCAGTGGCCACATGACAGTGGAAATGTTTTCGGACAACATTGGCTTAATGGCCTTGAAGCAGAGATAAGCATTGCCCCCCTATAGTCACAAATGACTAGTGGAGTCCTTTACCTTTTTTTTAATGAAAAGAACTGGTAGTTTGGGCAAATGGTTAGATCCATGGGTTTAGCCATTTCTCAAAAGTCAGTCCAGGTTTTGCTGTCCATATTAAGGTAGATAGATATTGGATGGATGGATGGATGGATGGATGGAGGCAGAGAGAGATCTATAAGTTGCTTATAACCTCCTTGAATATTATGATCTATAGTTTGAAAAAAAAGTTAACTAGGGAAGTAGCGGTGTGAGCCAACAAACTGCTTAAGACAATACAATTATGTGTCTTACTTTTGGCAATTTCAATTACCCAAACCTGGGTCTTTTTCTGGGTGATTCTGAATGGAAGTGAGATTAAAAAACAAATTGTCCCCATACTTTTGCAATATATATTCATTGACAATTATCAATCTTAATTACGTAAGGATTGGTTTTGGAAGAAGGTTCTTCTCTTACATGTTTTGAACTGTTTTTGTACTTTTCATTCCTTTTTCAGTCTTAGGATCCCCCAAATCCCCTAATATTTTATCCTTTTGTGTACATAAAATTATCTGCTACAATGTCCTACCTGTCAATGACTACTTCAGCTTCAACCACAACAATACATCAGCACACAGTAGATACAAACTTAAGGTAAACCGCTCCAAGCTTGAGTTCAGAAAATACAACTTCAGCAACAGAGGGGTCAATGTCTGGAATGCACTACCTGACGCTGTTGTTACATCCTCAAACCTCCACAGCTTTAACCTAAGACTGTCTACTGTTGACCTCACCCCATTCCTAAGAGGTCTGTAAGGGGGCGTGCATAAGCACACCAAAGTGCCTACCGACCCTGTCCTAATGTCACCATTTATTTGTATCCATTTCATGTATTCATAATCAAGTTTATGCTTATATCTGTTATCTCATACATGCTTGCCAAATAATAAATAAAATTTTAAAAAATTCAATATGGGAACATCCAAGCAGGCTTGACATCTCCCAATTACAGGCAACTTTTAGCAAGATTAATTTGGGGTTCTTTCCTTTAAAACTCCGTTTTCTGCATGTCCAAGTTTATGCAATTCTGAAGCAATTAGTATAGTTATTCCAGTAAAACTCAAACAATTAATCATCTAGGGACTTTTTTTCAACCTTTTAATTCCTAACACATTGCATATGCCCAAACCATTTAGTTTAATCAACTGATCAAAGTTGATCACGAATATTGGAAAAAGAGAGAGGTTGTAAGTAATTATAACTGACTGTTCACTTCCTATATAACAGAAATGACATCAGACCAATCCAGTTAAAGTAAATCATGACTAAGTTACATTAAATGCACATTAATCAAATGGATTAAAGTCCAAGTGAATAACAATTGCTGGGAGACCGGCGATCTGAAAACCCTATAGCATTTAATTGCACTGTAAAAGCTTTGAGCCCATTTTTAGAACATGTGGAACTTATTACTCAAAAGAAAGCCTAACATTTTGCATCTGAAAATGCAGAGGAAATGATCAGTCAGTGTATAATCAAGGATTGATATAGCAATAAATCAAGTCCCAGCAAAAAGAACTATATTGAATAATGGCCTATTATTTTAATCGATTTTACATGAATATAGTCTACGTAAAACTGAACTAGATTAGAATGCACAGCAGCTCAAATGTTACTACAGACAGTACTTGGGATAAAATTACTAGTAGATTAACAGAATGATTTGTTATCCAAAGAAAAAAGAGAGAGAATAGAAGCCTAGCCATTTTTAGGAGGGGGCAATAATTCAAATTCCTGGAAATTTAATTCATAAATTTGGTCTTGAATTACTTTCCCATATTGTCACCAAATTAAATGCCATGTATTCTACAGGCCCCTGTTCCACAGGCATGATTTCCACATTTCATCTATTCTCCTTTGAAAACCTTGTAGAAAAAATTTGCACAGTATTCTCTGTGCCAAAACATACACAGAGACAAAAACATCCAAATGTTCAGGAATTATTATTTATATATGTACAGGAAATCTTCAAAAATCTTTAAGGCCAGTTTTGGAAAGTGGGCAAGTATTAACATCCTATCCACTTGAAGGTTAGTGGGAAGAAGGAAGAATTTGACAAAGGGAGTGTCCTAAAAGTTTAAATCAGTGTTTTTCCTTTTGCATCTGTAGATTCTGTTGCAGACACTTTCCACTCTATTGGACTTGGGATGCGTATTTGCCAGCTAGCCTCTATACTAGAGCTTCTGCATATTTGGTTTGGCATTGAGAAGGATCAGTTTTTCCCAAGATTCTTACAGGTATGGGCAAACTTATAATCATATTCAAGAAGATTAGGACTTTGGTATTTGGAATTCAATCTTCTTTGATTATTCTTACTGTTGCATAAGATCCTACAGCAGACACTTATGATGAACCTGAACAAACCCAACTTGGAAAGTCAATGAGAGAAAGTTCATACATGACTGTTTATTCACCATGGGAAAGTAAACCTATCTGTGTGCACTTCCGGGGTTATACAGTACCTGAAAGCTGCCTCTGATAATTTTCACACATGCAGTTTATGTTGCCACTAACTACTGAAGGAATTAGGATTTGTTGCCTTTGTTTTCATTACTATGTGGGGAAAATAATTGAATTAATTTCAATCACTCTGTAAAAATAGTGAACTTATCTAGGAATCCAGATATGAATATTATTCATTGGAGTATCATATCCAAATGGGGTGATTGCATGTTTCTCCTCTCAAAAGCACCTAAGTGCTAGTTGCATATGAATTTCAGGTTACACATCTTCTCACTAAGTTTAGCTCCTGTCCTTTGATCAGGGAGAAGAGTCTCTACTTCCTGCAGATGTTCCTGGAATCTAGTTTTCATTGTATCCAACTACAAAATGAGCTAAATCATGCAGTCAGGTTTTTTTAATGTTTCATGTTTTGTTCTTGCCAACCTTCCACCCAGCATCTTTATTTATTTATGTATTAAATTTATATGTGGTTTATGATCACACTATCATACTAGAGCCAAATCAATCAATCTTGGTAGCTAATACTCAGATGTTCTGAATCGTTTAGATAGAGGTAGTCCTCAACTTATAACAGTCCATTTAGTGACTGTTCAAAGTTATAAAGGTACTGAAAAAAGTTCCGTTCGTACTTTTTGTACAGACAGTACTTATGATTGATTTTCACAGTTATTACCATTGCAGCATCCTTGTGGCCATGTGATTTACATTTGGATGTTTGAAAACTGACTCACGTTTATGACAGTTCAGTGTCCCAGAGTCATAGGATCCCCTTTTGCAACCTTCTGACAAGCAGAGTCAATGGGGAAACCAGATTCATTAACAACCCTGTTACTAATTTAACAACTGCGGTGATTCACTTAAGAAATGTGGCAGGAAATGTCATAACATGGGACAAAACTCACTTAACAAATGTCTCTGTTAGCAACATAAATTTTGGGCTCATTTGTGGTCATAAGTTGAGGACTGCCTGTATAATGGCTTTGGCCACTGCTGCAATAAGCCACTGGTTACTTCAAATTATCTTGAAAGTCCTGGCAAAATAACACACTGTTTAATTACAGTTAACAAAGGCTACCAGGAAGGAACATATAAGATATCCATTCCAATAACCTTATTGGAGCAAAAATGAATGAAGAATAATGGATCTAACACAGTGAAATTATGGCTGTTTTCCTTTTCTGCCTTTTTCTGCCCGGAGGTTACACTTCCTTTTAATAGAGGTTCTAATTGACTAGATGCTCATAGCTGCATACAATTAAGTTAAGGGATACACATGGCCCTAAAGGCCACAGGTTGTCACCTCTGCCCCTATCAAGGCAAAGGAGCATTTGGAAAATAGTTGTTTTGCAAAACAGTCAATTTTGGATACCAAAAGACCCCTGCAAAAGGAAAAGGGCATAAGTCAAAGAACAGAATTTGGAATGGTTTTTGTTTTCTTTTTTTTTTTTTATAGAAAAACTGGTTAATTAGTGACTTGAAAGGAAAGGGAGAGAAACAAATTAACCAGAATGAAGATAGTTTATTTGCATTTCTTTAATAGAATTTGGATTTGAGAAAATGAATTTGTAGGATAAATAAGAACGAAGGTATAATCAATATGCCACACCAATGCACAAGAGAGTGACATTTTAAAAATAATTTTAGAATATGCTGTTTTTCTTTAGTGGATAGATTGACAGCTTTCATTTCAGCCTAGGCTTCTGATTATGCTTTGGGTGTAAAGAATGGCTGTAATAAATATAATGCTGAGTCAGAAGGTGCTTACTCCCACGTAACACACATTAGATTTAGCGAGATTGACAATACAATATACTCAGATTATAATAGAAGATGCATTGTAGGATGACCTATTCACTACATAGATAGGGAATTATAAATGTTTAATTGTTTACCTGGAGAACATAGTTGTTGGACTGTATGAGATTTACTTTTGACTTTTTAGGATAGCACTTTTCAATATTTTTCTCAGTCTATATCCCCTACATAACCCCTTTTTACTAGAACTCATAGTCAGTGGTGGGATTAATTTTTTTTACTACCAGTTCTGTGGGCGTGGCTTGGGCGCGACATGGCTTGGTGGACATGGCAGGGGAAGGATGCTGTAAAATCTCCATTCCCTCCCCACTCCAGGAGAAGGATACTGCAAAATCCCCATTCCCCCCTGATCAGCTGGGACTTGGTAGGCAGAGAATAGATGGGGGCGGGGCCAGCCAGAGGTGGTATTTACCAGTTCTCCAAACTACTCAAAATTTCCACTACCGGTTCTCCAGAACTGGTCAGAACCTGCTGAATATCATCTCTGGTTTTAAGTCTGAATTCTGGATACCATTTTAATGTTCCCAATTAAAAATATGGGTAACAAAAATGCTCAGTTCACAGTAGATCAGCGTTTTGGAAGAAAGCTTAGTATAGATGAAAAATATGATCAGAAGACAATCAGATGGTTTTAGCAAATTTTATAAAAGCTGCCACTTTTGATCGTCAAATGATTCTCTATACACTAAACCTGCATCATTCTTTTCTCATTAAAACTGAGGAAACTATCTTCTAATACAGGAATAGGCAAGGTAATGCCCGTCAGATATTTTGAATTTAAATACTTATTAGTTAACATGGCTATGATGTCAAATAGCAATTCATTATTGGACTTGGAATTCAAAAGATATGCAGGGCAGAAGTTTGGCTATTTCTGACATAATGTTTCGGCTCAGTCTATCATTTTAATGTTTCCTAGTATTCTATATGGTGACAATATTTAGGCAATATAAAAATGATACCAAACTGTCACAGTATTAAATAGGCAACAGATGTACAGTACTGATATCCAATCATTTCTAGTTCAAACCTTTCCTCTGCTTCTTCCTAACTGATCTTAGACAAACTAAAATAAGCTACTTTTTGACCACATCAAAAAGAAGAAAAACGTGTTTATACAAATCATTAAAATCATTTTAAAGCAGCAAATTAAAATGAGATATGATATCATATTATCTAAACTTGCCTCCAGGGATACAAAGATGATTCAGAGGTTGAGAATTGATAAATTTGATTTGGCCAGCTTTAAGAGTCTGTTATATACATGTGTCCTTCCTATGAGCATTTTTATTTTCTTTTGCAACAGTCAAGGCAAATAAATCCAGAGTTTTTCATGCATAATTTCCAGATTCTTGGAATATAATTTAATGACAGATTAGCATCTTTAAATCTTATCTTCTTCCCAAGAACTTGATTCACTAGCTTGAAAGGTATTGTCAGCGAAGATGACCGAAGCATGTGCACAAATATTTCCCCAAAGTTATTGTAAATTGTGCTATATAAATGTACTTTTTTTTGCTTGAGTTTCTTGAGTTAGGAGTGAAATTTAAAGATTAGAGTCTCTTGATGGCACAAAACATTTCACACCCGAGATAAAAAGCAAGATGTTGTTCTCCCTCTCTATTATAAGAACTGACCAGCCCAGCAATTCAATTTATTTTGACACGGCTGCTGCTGAGCTATGGCTTCTCTTTTGTGGGTGAGGGTGGAAAACTAGTTAGGGAGCCCAGTGCTTTGCCTTCCAATTCTTGGATACTTTTTCCTGGATTTAGGATCAGCTGCTTGAGACAATTGTGCTTAAAGACAAAAGCTGGCTTTATTTGGATGAGCTAATTCTATCCCTATATACTACATGTTTAAACGGGATTCAGCAGTTTTATTTCATTTTCTGTGACTGTCTATTTTGTGGTCTCACTAGCTCTTGCTTGCTGACAAATGTTATATCTTGCAGCTATGTCAATGCGCCATTGTTGCTATTTTGTCATGCTGTATTTTGCAATCAGACCGTGCGATATTCTTGCAGCAGCTAACCAGGTGGTCCCCAACTTCTTTTCAAAGGTGGCATTTGCTGTCTGTTGCTGGTTTTTCAGTTTTGTCTTTGAAGCATATGGTTCTTAAGACTTGATCTTGTACAGTCAGGATTAGACCCTCTGTCTCTTTCTTCAATTTTTCCAGCTCTTAGTCATTGTCAGATTATATGCTTTGACTGCTATATTTTTTTTATTTACTGGCCATGTAATACTTTGCCTTGCCATGTCTCCTTCCTGTTTTCCATTTGGTCTTTCTTGTAGGACAGTTCGGTCTCTCCAGTACTCAGTAAACCTTCGTAGCATACTAGCTTCCATGTCCTTCAGATATTCTTTCAATGCCCTTTTCTTCGTCTTCAACTGTTTGGTGTACTTGCCACCTTCCATTCTCACCTATCTTTCTTGGCATGTAGAATCTGTCAATGTTCCTACATGGACGAAAGGCAAGATTGATTGTCATTATGTTTCCAGTCATTACATGCAGAGCTAGGCACTGTGGTCTTTCATAGTTGACAAATGGAAATTTTTGTTAATATATAGATTTTATAAACACTGTCTAAGGCTTTTTGGTATGGCACCAACTGGGACCACCATAACTGACATATGCCATAATCTTTCAACTTTGATTTTTGGATCTTGATAGTTTATGATCTTATCCAATTCTTTCCCTTCCATTCTACCAATCCTTGGTATTGCGACATCAATTACCCACTTTCTTTTTTTTTTTTAACCAGAGTTTAATCTTGTGTGTTATGAGCTAAGACCATATCCGTTTGTATTCGGCAGTGTAAGCGGCGGTGGTGAGACCCCTCGTGAAGAAGCCATCCTTGGATCCAGCTGTCCTCAACAACTACCGTCCAGTCTCCAACCTTCCCTTTCTTGGGAAGGTTGTTGAGAAGGTGGTGGCCTTCCAGCTTCAGCGGTCCTCGGAGGAAGCAAGTTATCTCGACCCCTTCCAGTCAGGCTTCAGACCCGGTTACAGCACAGAAACCGCTTTGGTCGCATTGACCGATGATCTTTGGAGAGCCAGAGATGGAGGTCACCCCTCCATCCTGGTTCTCGGCGGCTTTCGATACCATCGACCATGGTATCCTTCTGCGACGACTGCGGGAGGTGGGAGTGGGAGGCACTGTGCTGCGGTGGTTCTCCTCCTACCTCTCGGACAGGTCGCAGTCGGTGTTAGTGGGGGGGCAGAGATCGACCCCTAGGCACCTAACATATGGGGTGCCGCAGGGTTCGGTCTTATCCCCCCTACTATTCAACATCTACATGAAACCGCTGGGTGAGATCATTCGCAGGCACGGGATAAGATACCATCAATATGCGGACGATACCCAGTTGTATCTGTCCGCCCCGTGCCAACTCAATGAAGCGGTGGACGTGATGAACCGAGGTCTTGAGGCCGTTATGGACTGGATGAGGGCTAACAAGCTTGTACTCAACCCGGAAAAGACCGAGTGGCTGTTGTGCTTCCCTCCCAACAATTCGACCAGTACTCCATCGCTCAGGCTGGGGGGTCAAATTCTACACCCCTCAGAGAGGGTTCGCAACTTGGGAGTCCTCCTGGATCCACAGCTGTCCTTTGACTACCATCTGACGGCTGTGACCAGGGGGGCATTTGCCCAGGTTCGCCTGGTGCGCCAGTTGCGACCCTACCTGAATCGGGAGGCTCTCACAACAGTCACTCGGGCCCTTGTGACCTCTAGGCTGGAATACTGCAATGTGCTCTACATGGGGCTGCCCTTGAAGAGCATCCGGCGACTTCAGCTAGTCCAGAACGCGGCCGCGCGAGTGATCGTGGGTGCACCTCGGTTCACCCACATAACACCGATCCTCCGCGAGCTGCGCTGGCTACCTGTTGATCTCCGGGTGCGCTTCAAGGTGCTACTAGTCACCCATAAAGCCCTCCATGGTAGTGGGTCTGCATACTTGAGAGACCGCCTTCTGCCAATTACCTCCCTGCGACCAATTAGATCTCATAGATTGGGCCTCCTCCGAGTTCCATCTGCCAGCCAGTGCCGGCTGGCAATTACAAGGAGGAGAGCCTTCTCAGTAGTAGCTCCGACCCTTTGGAACGATCTCCCCGTGGAGATTCGTACTCTCACCACCGTCCAGGCCTTCCGAATAGCCCTTAAGACCTGGCTAGCCCGTCAGGCCTGGGGACAAAGATAATTGCCCCTCCCGAATGATGAATGAATGTTGCTCATTATTTTATTCTATGTTGTCTGCGTTATTGTTTGTATACCCCTCCCTTGATTTTATGTAAGCCGCCCTGAGTCCCCTCAGGGAAAAGGGCGGCCTATAAATGTTAATAAACCTCTAAACCTCTATTCAAAAACTCACACTATTTTAACCTGCTCATTTTTACTACTTTTTCAACTATCTATTCTCACCACTTTTTCATTATTGGCAAATGATTGTTTTAACAGATGTTCCAGTGAATCATTTTGGTGACTGCAGTGCCACTGTTTATAATATGTTTGTGCATAAACTGAGTATATGATTGGAGTATGTAATGAATGAGTATCACTCATTCAGTGCTATTATAATGTCTAACAGTCACCGAACAAACGGTCAGCAAGCAGGAATTATAACACTGAACATTTTGTTCAGTAATTCAAGACAGGATATATCATATTCCCAAAGCCAGTTTTTGTCCACAAGTTTGTGGCAATGATTAGGCCATTAACATACTGACTGATCTAAAGTCTCTCTGAGACTTTCCATAATTGAAGGTGAACTGTAACCTGCATTCTTGGTTTCTGCCATCACCCCTTTTAAAAATGTGATCTTTCAGGGATAATCAGATTAGAATTGTGTCTGGACATGACACACATTGAATAAATTGCATTTTTCATGGGGGTGGGGAGATGGGAAGGCTAGAGGGAGAAATCTTTCTCGCTAGAACAGAATGTGAACAGAATTTCCTAACCAAGTTAGGATTTGAAACACACTATATATTTGTAAATGTTGTTTTAATTGTGGGCTATTAATTGATTTAGGATCTGCTGTTGAACTGATTAAGCCACAAAGTAGCATCTCAGAATCCTGAATGTATGCTTAAAAAATGGGGAATAGAGTATAAAGGTAGAGGGAATTCAAGAACAATAGTACAAATGAAAAAGAAGGAATTTTTGCACACATTTTATAAGATAATGGCACATGTTTTCAGTGTTTGGCATCTGGTTTTAGAAAACAGGATGTGGAATTTGGATTTCGAACTTCAGTCTTTTTAAAAAATGAAAACCAACCAAATGAATATGAAAATGCACAATTTCAAAAAAGTATCTACAGGTACCCGTAGTCCTTGTTTGCAATTAAGTAAAACTAACTGGGAAATCACAGGTGCTCAACTGTGCTTTCTTTTTCTTCACTCTCTGCCCTTTGTTAATGCTTATTCTAGTGATTCATAGCATGATTTTATGGCCTTATTTCATCTTTCCTTTGCTTTTACAGACCTATGATGGTAATAAATGTGAAGACGTTGCAAAGTTACTTTTTCATCACTGTCTAAACTGCAAAACGTTGCTAAACCAAGCAATAAAAACAAGGATTACCTGCATATATTTAACTAAAGAACTAGTATTTTACCCCAGTTCCAATATGTAGTTAAACTTAATTCTGATTTGCATAAAATAAGTCACCTTCACACTGTATTCATATACTCAAGGTTCTGCAAACCTGCTACCCATTTTTTTTTATGGCAACTCAGTTGTTTGGAAATTTAGTGAGAGGGCAAATAATGCTACTTATTAATGGATAATAATCTACTTTGCAAACTAAAGTTTTCTAAGTTAAAATAGCAGAAGCATTTAATGTCAAAATTAAAATATAGAAAAAGTGTATTTTATTGTCTTAGTATTTAGTGCATCCAATGCTGCACTGCTGCAGCTGTGTTTATATAATACTCTGATTAGATAAATATTTTTTAAATTCATCATGGTATGTGAATTCCGCCTCCGTGCTTATCAATATATCAAAACCAGAAAATTAGGGTGAATAAATAACTTAATTGATTGAAGGGCTTATGTCACACAACTACAGGCCACTTGTCTTCTACGATACAACTTTTACCATAATGGAAAATAGTATCTCCTATGGCTGCTTTTATCACACTGATAGTCCCAAGAGAATTAATTGAGAAATAAACTATTTGACTTTTTCCAGATCACAGAAAGAATTGTCATCTTATTTGTTGCAATAGCAAGTCAAGAAGAAGTTCAAGGGAAGGGCATTGTATGTGTCTTATTTTTCCTTTGGAGTTGCATTGATGTCATCAGGTGAGAATTTAATGCCACTCCTGTGGAAACACAGCCAAGATGTTCCCCATATTTATCTTCCCTGTATGGAATTCACTGAGAGGTTTCCTTTGCAACATAGCTCAAGAAGATAAGGATGTGCGTTCTCTTACCAAAAACATTTAACTTTTCTAGCTATAGATCACATATTGTCTTCTTTTATGGAACATTATCAATAGAAAGCAATAACCAGAATATTAGAATCCAAGATTTTGATAATATCAGAATACCCAGACCATCTGAATACTGCAAACATATTATTAATTAAATCATTTGCTTTAGACTCTGTTGATTCCTGAGAATTGAGGCAACACAAAAACATTGTATGATTCAGTGAGCAAAAATGTAAGCAAACTAGTTTCTCGAGGTTCCTGCAATTTATTGGAACTAATAAAAAACAGAAGGTCACTGCTGATTAACTGTGATTTCTGTGAAACCTAGCAAATGTTAAAAGAGTTGACCAATCAAATCATCCTTCCCAAATATGCTTTTACCTTTTGGTCTGTTTTCAATTTGGCCGGGCAGGTCGGGGATGCTGCAGTCCCCATTTGGCAAAGAAGGTCAACTGGCGAGAACAAGGACCTTCTCTGTCGTAGGTCCCAGCCTCCTGGAATATTCTTCCTTTGATATCAGTTGAGTCCAACCCTGTTAGCCTTTCATAAGGTTATGAAGATAGAGTTGTATTCCTGAGCTTGGAGCCTTGAGTGTGCAAAGGGCTTTTTTTTTCTTGGTTGCATTAACATCCATAGTAGCAGCTTTCTTTGGTGCCAACTATATTTATTTTGTAGTGTTTTAATTGTTCTAATAGTTTTAATTGTTCTTATGTCTTATGAAGTACGCCACCCAAGATTACTTGTTGAGATGAGTGGTTATTAGAAATCACATACATACATAGTACGTCAATCAATCCTCTTGACCAGGTTTCAAATATAATCATTTCATCATTTCTAGTAAACAGTCTTCTAAGTTGGAACAATGGCATTTATAACACAACTGCAGGGAACCTGGGTTATGAAGGCTGCATGGGATCTCTCTGACCCATAAACAACCAGTACTAATCATGATACCATATGCATTATTTATTTGATAATATGGCACACAACACAACTCCCTTGCCTTGATTTTCCTTCTAGGTACACATACTGCATATTATTGGAGACAGGGATATACTTTCAGGGACTTGCTTGGCTCTACCACTCGCTGTGGATTCCCTTCTATCCTCTCTCTGTTTTGGCTCAAGGTAAGAGGAGGAAGAGGCTATAATTTCTGAGATTGCAATTCTGCACAGGTAGTCCTCACTTAATGACTCTAATTGGGGCCAACATTTCCATCACTAAGCAGAATGATCATTAGGTGAAACATTACGTGAATGCATAGCAGTTCTGGCAGTGGTTGTTAGGGGAGGACCATGTTGTTGTTAACTGAGGACCTCATGTTTTTGTCATGCCCTGTTATACTTGCCTCCATTCAACACCCTCCTCGCCTATGGAGGCACCCATCTCTGCCCCTTTGATCATTAGCCACATTCCATTACACTCCACTCTTGGCCATCTTTTTCCTCCTGCGGCTAATGATGCATTCCTAGTTGACCCTTCGTGCAAACTTGTAAAGAGTCAGCAAGTGCCTCAGCCAGGTACACCTCAATAATGGGAGGAAGATGATGGTGAACATCAGCTGAGGGTGGCAGAAGCAGGCGATGGTAGAGTGCAAGATGGCCAAAAGGGCAGAGATGGGGGAGGGAAGATATGTGGGGAGGGAGTTGAAGTACATGCTGTGGTCGTTTGTAAATGTGGATGGGCTGTCTGGCACCCATATGACCACAGGGGTGCTTCAGCGACTGTATTTTTGAGGACTGGCTGTAACTGCCATTCATTCAATCCTACTGTAACTTGAAATAGTTGCTTAACAAATGGTTGTTAAACAAAGACTGTTTATACCTGTATATACCTAATTAGCAATAAGTTTCATTGGATCATTCAACTTACAACAGTTCATTTCGTGATTGTTCAAAGCTATAGGTACTAAAAAAAGTGACTTATGACCATTTTTCACAGTTATGACCTTTGCAGCATCCCCTTGCTCACATAATCAGAATTTAGAAGCTTGGCAGCTGACTCATATTTATGACAAATTGCAGTGTCCCAAGGTAACGGGATCTCTTTCTGTGGCCTTCTGACAAGCAAAGTCAATGGAGTAGCAAGATTCACTTAATAATTGTGTTACTAACTTAACAACTGCAACGATTCACTTTACAACCGCAGCAAGAAAGGTAGTAAAATGGGGCAAAACTCACTTAACCAATGTTTCACTTAGAAACCTAAATTATGGGCTCAATTGTGGTCATAGGTCGAGGACTACCTGTAGATGTTTATGGGCTTGTAGAATGTGTTTATTATTTGCAGTAAGATAAATATGATGGCTCTCCACAAGAAAATATTTCCAATAAAGAGTCACATACTTTGGCAAATATTATCCAGCAACAATTGTTCCAAAAGTTGATAATTTTTTCTGTGATGCTACCTCTTGGAAAAATGATTTCTCTAAAACAGCATGGTGTGTGTGTGTGTGTGTATCTCACAGGAATACTCCTTCAAATCAGCTTCAGTTCTTTAGAGTAGAACAGGAGCGTCCAACCTTGGCAACTTTAAGATGTGTGAATTTCAACTTCATGGTGGATGGGGAATTCTGGGAATTGAAGTCCATAAGTTGCCAAGGCTGGGCATCCCTGTGGTAGAAGAAAGGATTTGTGCTCTTCCAGGTGTACTGAACCACAGCTCCCAGCTATTGGCTATATTGTATAACTATGAAAATTGGGATTCAATTTAATCTGGAGATTAGCCACTCCTGTTCTATAATGGAAATTGCTAATTGTGAATCTCTAGTCCTGCTTGAAACCTGAGCCTAACCTATATCCATATGAATTGAATGTATTATGCAGAAATGAGACATTTCTACGTATTTGGAAATTTTCACTTGGCTGATTTTTCTTTTTTGTCCCCCAGCATTTGCCATATATGAATCATTGCCTCACTTTGAAACCTCAGGCACTTACTCCATCCGAATAATCTTTCCATTTGATCTAACTATTTACTTTCCCTATGTACTGAAAATGTACCTGGCAATGTTATTTGGGGGTAAGTTCTTTTATTTCTTAGCAAATATACCATAGGATTTATCTATAATGCATTGGCAGGATTGGATAATACACTCTCATCCCTCACTGGGGCCTGATTGGTATAGGAAGTTCTTTATTCACATAAGCCGCTGCTCTCTCATTATACCAATGTGGAGTTTAGAGGTATTCAGCACAGTTACATCAGATTCATGGTCAAACTATATACTAACTCTGAAACAGCTATAAACAGATGGGTACAGTATATATTAATGCAAAGCTCTCTTCAGCCATAGTGTGTTTTCCCACAGATACTGAATCCCAAATGGAAATAATCATGCCTATTTCTTTAAATGATTTAAATGACAATATATTTTCTAATTGTCAGAAGTGGGCTATTCTATCGGGAGCCATGGTCGCACAGTGGTTAGAATGCAGTATTGCAGGCTAATTCTGCTGACTGCCAGGAGTTTGATTCTGACTGGCTCAAGGTTGACTCAGCCTTCCATCCTTCCGAGGTGGGTAAAATGAGGACGCAGATTGTTGGGGGCAATATGCTGACTCTGTAAACCGCTTAGAGAGGGCTATAAAGCACTGTGAAGTGGTATATAAGTCTAAGTGCTATTGCTATTTTGTGTGTTCGGCTATTTGGATATATGTATACTTATATATGTACTGTTCAGAACACAAATTAATATTGCCTAACACAGAGATGTCAAACTCGCTGTGTCACGTGACATATTGCGACGTTTGCCTTCGCGGAGCTGGGGTGGATGTGGCCTGTGCATGATGCATCCGGCCCACAGACTGTCAGTTTGACACCCCTGATCTGAATGATCAAAAAGAATGAGGATTGTCCTGCTCTCATGGTGATTTTCCTAACACCATTTCAAGTAATTTTGAACCTAATTTCCATCTTCATTTTGGTAGTAGGCCTAATACACATTTTAGTTTTTCTGAATATATTAAACAATAGGAAACAAAGAATCTTGGGGGACTAAGCAAAGATCCCCGTGGTTACTGAATCAGGAAAATGTGCTATTTTTTAAAATAAAATATAAGTTGCTGTAAGTTAAATAAATAATTTCATTCATTTTAATATAAATACATTTGAACCAACTTTAAGGCCTGAAGATTTGGGAGAGAGACTATTATTTGATAAGAGTAATGCTATTATGTGTTTTTTTTTCTTTTTATGTTTCAAACCTGCTTTGGTTTGGGTTTAGGTGCATACTTCATTATTCAACATCTTTATATGGAACGGAAGACTTATCTAGGAAGCAACAACATCAAAGAGAAAAGAAGCTAACTCATGACAAATTTCATCTTCTATGAAACAGCCTTTGCAACAATTACTAAAATATCAAGATCTAGTCATTTGGAGATTTCAAATTTTAAAAAGCATACTACACTTTCTTAGCAATTAGATCGTGGCTCACAGACTTTGTATACAGAGGCACACCAGGCAAAATCAAAAGAATTCCTTGACTGCTTAAAGTTAAACATTTTCAATAGCTTCTCATTATATTCAGTGGAATGCAAAAGCTACGTGCTCTGTTGCTGTTACAGTTAATGAGAACATTACCTCATTTAAAAAGGCAGGATGTTATGTACATGTATGTACATAATCTATATATATCTATATATCTATACATACATACATACATACATACATACATACATACATATATACATATATACAGAGAGAGACAGACAGACAGACACTGGAGAATTCTTTTAAAGTTATCTAGGAAGTGTTCATTGTTTCGGATACTGCCAAAAAGCACCACAGCCAAAAATGACCTTATTCTTCCAACCTAAGTTTTTATCAGTTGGTACCTTTGAAGAAATATTATGTGGAAACCAGAAAGAATAAAATAATTTGATAGCAATAATTAACCTTTTTAAAAGTAAGATATATTGTCCAGCACTTTGTGTGCACCTGAAATTTTGATTACGTGTCTGGTGATATGTTGCAAGTTGTAACATGTATCAACCCAGCTACAGATAAAACAGGAATGGGCTTTCTATAACTCAGGAACCTTATTTATTCCCAAATCTGTATTTTGCTATTATTCTGGAGCTTCTTAGAATCATGCCATTGAATTTAATGGCTTCTTCTCATTAACAAATTCAAGAGGTTCTTGTCAGCCACATGATTTTAAATATGTTTTTAGGATTTTCAAAATAAGTATGCTAAGCGTTTCAAAACCTTAAAACTCTGATTTCTTGTGTTCTTTCTCTCAATCAGTCACATCCTTTTTCACATCCTTGCTCGGGTTGAAAAAATATCTTTAAAATGGTGCTCAACCCTGTGATAAAGTGTATGTGTGAATGTGTTCCTTATGATTAGACTTTATATAATAGTAGCAACGTTTTTGAAAGTCCTCCAAACTTCAATACTGATTGCGCTCTCCTTGTGACTTCTTTTTAATCTACATCTTTCCTTGGGCAAATCCTCCCTTCCCTTGTTCCATAGTTGCACTCCATTTCATAAATGCAGTAACCAAAGATATTTAAAGGAAGAATAAAGTCTGCTGAAATGAGTGGAGATTTTAGGGAGATAGAAATATTGAAGTTCAAAACATTGGGAGATGGGTAGGGATAATAGATAGAGACATCTTGATATTAATCAGGTACAGAAACCAGAACTTTTTATATGAATGTTGTTGGATCAAACCCCAACATATCTCCATCAGTTCTCCTGTACCTCTTTTTCTGGGAAACTTTCTTTTGATCTGAGGCTTAAATATAGACTAGGGTGCTGGGATCCTCTTCCGTGTCTTGTCTATCACCATAACTGAAGTATTTTTTTAAGCCTGTGACCTGATATTTTGGAGCAAATTTAAATGCTTAAGGCAAGAAAACCTATCTCTTGGCCATACAGAGGCCTAATTCTGATTAAAATGGCACACCTCTGATTGAACTATAGCCCTCCATACTTGTAGGCTCATTAATGTGTATGAATCTCCATCTAAAACATTTTTTCCACAGAAAAAACCAGTGCAAAATAGGGTCATTTATTTCCATGTTGAAGGAACCCTTGGGGAAATACTTTCTTGTCAGCCTAATTTCCTTGGTACCGATAGTGGCAGTAGGAATATCAATAAACAGTGGTTAGCCGCATTGTCTAAGAAATAAAACACATTCAAAAGTTCAATTTTTCAAAACAATATCTTTAATCTTAACACACCGAAGTTGTCAAGTGCAATGGTGACCAACCTTTTGTGAAATCTACTTGCCTTGTTTAAACTCCCTTACCTCCCACTTTCTAATAGTAATTCATTCATTCTTTCATTCTTTCTTTCATTTTCCTTCCTTCCTTCTTCTCTTTCTCTCTCATTAATAGAACAAATGGTATATATGCAAATACGGAGGATTTTTAAGTATCTTTCCCCAGGAAAGATAACAATATGTCTATAACAGAAGCTTGTATTCCATAGCATAAAAGGTTTTTAGCAAGATATGTATCACCAACAGATACGGTATCTGTTTCTTCAAGATCCCTACCAGCCATAAGCTTTTGTCCATACTGCTTTCTTCTTAAACTCTGGAAGAGATCTCAGGGCCAATAAAGAAGCTGTTAAAAGAACACACACAATATCAGCAATGGAAACAGAAACAAGTCTTCTACTGTTGCCTGCCTGAAAGAATTTGAAAGTCAATTAACTTCACGGGTAAAACTCCCTTGGATTAAATCAAAGGCCCATCAAGCCCAGCCTTCTTTTTCTGAGAGCAGCGAGTGCTTACGGGAAACCCACAAACAGGAACTGAACAGAAGAAACATTTGAGTTCTTCACATCAGAAGGTAACTACTATAAGCCAATAAGAGGCTCGTCCTCTAGGAAAAGTATTTATATGAAAAACATTTCAAAGTCCCTGAAGTAGTCTTTTTTAGTGGATGTTAACCAAATTGTCGCAGCCAATACAGGCAAAAGTCTGAGACCTGAAGTTGAAAGAGCCTACCCCCAACTGTCCCACAACATTATAATGTGATGTGTAAAATAAGTTTAAATAACTATCTTTTGTAAACATGTTTTGCTTTTAAATTGATATAAATCACCTTTTAAAAAAAGCAAGCGTTATTATTTATCTAAGTTGGAAGTCTACAAGTAACTCAGTTTCTACCATACCTTTCAAAAGATCTCTGGAAGATTGAGTGAGTATTTCATTAGCATTCTCCATTAGGCTAAACAGCCAGTCAATAAACTGTGAATAAATTTAAAACTCAAATGTTAGATTTTTGAAATTTTTTTTTAAAAAATATCTCAATTAAGCCTTCTCAACTTTGTCCAGACATGTTGGAATATAGTTATTGCCATCTCAAAAGTCACCGATTATGTGGGTTGGTGCAGATGGGAAATGTAGTTCAAAGCATTGGGAGGGAGAGAGGGGTAACAAAACATCGGAGAAACCTGCTTTAATTAAAGTTGACAAGCTGATGCAGAAATTGTCATTATTGCTTAAAAAATATATCTGGACTTCAAATATGAAGTCCAAACTGTTTCATATGAAATGCATTTTAATGGCAATTCAACATAATCAAGATGAGAACAAAGAAATGTGTGAGTATTTAACCATTCCTTTGAAAAGTAACTTCACCCCCCCACAAAAAAACACAACTTCTTAGAAATGAGACACATTAAATGGATTTATAATCTATCACGTAATCTAATCTATCACATAATCTAATCTATCACATAATCTAATCTATCACATAATCTAATTTCAAGTTCTCAATTCTACTGGCCAACTGTGATTGATATTGCATGCTGATCTGTGTAATTATTAGAGATAAGAGTGAGAGCTGCATGTTACCTTGCAAGCAAGGAAGAACAGCATTGCTGCTATTCTTTCAGGACTTTGAAAAATTAATCGCTGTTTGTAAACTCCCTGCAATGCCATACTTTAAAATCCTACTTTGTAATCCTAATATTATAAATCTGTTAGTGTTGGGCAGCATTTCAGAGTGAAAGGCATGCTAAATTGCATCTTTACGCACTTCCTTAGAGCAGCATTGTCTCTTCCCAGGAATCTATGGCTACTTTCCAATGCAACTCCATAGCTCGTGCAATCCTGGAAAGTTTGAATTTCATTTAAAGATCTGTCAACAGGTTTCATATCGTGCTTCAGTGTGTTTTATGCCCAGCCCTAATTTCAATCATGCCAAGTTCTTCTCATGTGGAGTGCTTTTCACTGGATGATTTTGGGAGGATGCTGCAATTATCCACATGCCACTTAGAGAAGATACACTGGGTTTAAGCTGCCAATATTCCAAACATCTCTTCATCAGACTAACAAGTTCATAGCTAGGAAAGAGGTTACAATGGTCTTAAAAATGTATTGGGAAAGATGAAGATGTGATGGTAATTCTTTCTTTCATCATCAGTTCCTTCTATAAAACACATATAACTATAAACAAGCAGAAATTGAAGCCAGATCCCAATACTAGAATGCAGACATGGTGGTCTTCTGGTCAAGAAGAGAATATACCAACAGGTATGACACTTAATTTCTCAAAATATTTATGGATTTATTTAACGATTGCACTGATATACTGCTGCAATCTACAGATTCCTATTTCTACTATATGTGAGTCCAGCTGCTGGCAGATCAGAAAGGATCCTGCAAAGGATTCTTTCACATTGTGAGATCAGACTTGTGAGTGAACTAGTGTCAAGATATGATAGTGGCAGACTAGTTTTCATGATTTCTGTGCAAAACATGGATGAGTATTTGGCTCCATTTAAAAAAAAAACCTTTTACTCTACATTCTCTCAAGTTTATTTTTATTACCTATGCCAGCGATGGCGAACTTTTTTGGCTTGTGTGCCATAAGGGGAAGAAGTGCAGGGGGGGGTCATGCGCGGGCATGCCGCACCCATAATGCAACACGTGAACCCCCCCCCATATGCATGCACACATGAGAGGCGCTCCCCCCATTTTTCCATGCTTTTTTCGCCCTCCCCAGGCTCCAGAGACTTTATAGGAGCCTAGGGAGGGTGAAAACAGCCCCCCCGGAGGCGCTCTGGAGGCTTCAGGGACCTTCAGGAGGCTTCCCGGAAGCCCCCAAATGGCAAAAAAGGACCCTACAAGCAAACCAGAAGTCACTTCCAGTTTGCTCGGAGGGTCGGCTTAAGCCCTCCGGAGGCTTCAGGGACCATCAGAAGGCTTCCCTGAAGCCTCCGGAGGACTAAAAAGGAACTTACTTCCGGTTTGCTCATAGGGTCCTTTTTAGTCCTCCGGAGGCTTCAGGGAAGCCTCTTGAAGGTCCCTGAAGCCTCCGGAGGGCTTAAACTGAACCCACAAGCAAACCGGAAGTCCGTTCCTGAACTTCCTGTTTGCCAATAGGGCCGGTGTTTTGCACTCCGGAGGCTTTATAGGAGCCTGGGGAGGCTCTTTTCGCCCTCCCCAGGCTCCTATAAAGCCTCTGGAGCCAGGGGAGGGCGAAAAATGGCTTTAAAAAAGGCTGAACTCAGCTGGCCAGCGCGCGGATGCGCATTGGCCAGCTGACAGGGCACCACCTTGCACGCCCTGACAAATAGCTCTGCATGCCACAGGTGGCATGCATGCCATAGGTTCGCCATCCCGGACCTATACAAACATTTTAATTGTCCGATTTTAGCTGGTGGAACTTTCCATTCACTGTTGTTCTTAGTAATTATTAAGTAATTATTACTCTAAATGACTTCGGTGATTTGCAGGATAAAAGTTCCACCCAGACAGACTGTCTTCTGAATGGCAATACTGAGTTCAAGCAATCAAAAAAAAATTTCAAGCCCATCATGAGTTCAGTGGACATGTGCAACCTAAAACACGTACCTTTGGTGTTTGCTCTTTCCAAGGCTCTTTGGTCAACAGAATTTGCAAGCTACCTGGAAGAAGAGTGAGTATCTCTTTGACTGCCAAAGTATCCACTGGACGCTTGCCTAAGCCACGTGCAAGGACTCTGTCTATTGTTTCACACTGCCAGGCAGACCAGTCTGCACTAAGGCCAAGTAGCATTGGCAAGGCATGATCAGCCCAGGCAACCACACAAGCGGCGAAAATCCACAACAGGAAGCTGACAGCCTGAACAGGAAACAGATGCACATTTTGCTAAGGGGATCAGTGAAGTCTGGAAAGGACTAGAGTCACAATAATTTATAAATTATGGAGTTCAAACAATTAAGAAGAATGTTACCAGAACATTTTAATGGTCTTAAAGCTAGTAGCATTTTTTTTAACATGAGCTATATCAGGCTGGAAAAAAAACTTTTATTTTTAATTTCCAGAAAGACCAAGTGAGCTTGTACAAATGACTAAGTACAATATTTTATAGTATATACTACTATGTTGTAAATAAGCCTGTTCGTCTAATATAAAGAATTCTGCAAAAAGTTCTATTGGCGCACATTGCAATAACTATAGTACAGGGAGTTCCAGATTTCAAATCTGGAGGATCATATTTTATTAGTGTCAAGCCCTCGGAGTTATGACCGGCACCAGGCAAGAATGTCTGGGTCTGTTCTTAGCGCCTGCAACGCACCTGCTTGCAGGCGCAAGAATTGCAACCCCCGGATTGGCTGTCCACCTCACAGCAATCACATAAATAGCTGTCAGGCATTCAGTTGTTGTTGTTACGTGTGTTAGCAAGTTAATAAAGCATTCTATGGAAGCTGAGGCGTCTGTCTTATATTAGCTTAACCAGAACAAAGCACTGGCGATGAGGATGGCGACATTCTCGACCGCGTGCATGTTCACTGAATTCTGCCCTGAACGGCAACCGTGGGAAGCCTTTCTTGAGCGCTTCAAGTGTTTCCTTCAAGCGCAAGATTTTGTGGAACTGTCACCTGACAGAAAGAGGGGTTTCTTTCTAAGCTCGTGTGGACCAGAAATATTCGCTACGGTTTGCACTCTAGTTGTGCCTACCCCTGTCCATGCTGTTCAATGGGACATTCTGTTGACCAAGCTAAAAGGGCACTATGCCCCCGTGCCCTCCCACTTTGCCTGGAGACACGCTTTTCGCCAATGCATGCAGAGAGACAATCAGTCCATCAACCAGTATGTCGTGTCTCTGAGGGCATCAGCTGTCCACTGCAAGTTCACAGATCTGGTAGAGGCTCTGCTCGAGCAATTCATTTATGGAGTCCGTGATATGCGACTTCAGCGCAGGTTACTAGCCCAGTCTGAACTTTCCCTTAACCTGGCCGTGGACGAAGCACAGGCATCCAAAATGGTGGAGTGCACGTCTGTTCTCCAGAAATATCAGCAGAACAATGCCTCATTCTCCAAGCCTTCCTCTGTCCATCATCAAGATGGGGACAACGGCCTAGACTTTGAGGGAGGTGATGAAATCAGTTGCCTCAGGGTGACGGGACAGAGGCCCAATTATGCCGGCGCAGCAGGGAAGAACTCCCTCAGCTGTGGGGGAAAACACCTCCGTTCGCAATGTAAATTTAAATCCACAGTGTGCTGCCGCTGCGGGAAAAAGGGACACTTAGCCTCCTTTTGCAGGGCACCTCTACCATGTCTATCCTCCTCAGCGGACAAGATCAAGGCCCGTTGCTGTGACAGAGTCTACAAGGGCCGCAATGACTGTTTTACTGTCTCCGACAGGGAAAGCACTTTTGACAAGTGGTCTGTCAGCTCAGTCACAATCAATCACCAGGGCCAAGCGAAAATTCACCTCACTATTGTGATTGAGGGACAAGACTGTAGAATGAAGTTGGATACCGGATCCGCCAAATCCATCATCTCCTGGGACATGCTCTGGAGGATCATGCCTTCCATTAAACGGGACCAGCTGGCTGCCTGCCCTTGCCGCCTGAAAGATTATCAGGGCAACACAATCCCAATTATTGGCTGCGGGCACTTTGGAGTGTAGTATGGCCAGTTCAAGGGCCGTCTTCCCTTAAACGTGATGGCTAAGCCCTTAGCTTCCCTCTGGGGGCTTGATTGGTTCCAGGCTTTAGGCTTGTCTATCGAGTGAATCCACTCTACTAACCCCAGGAATGAGTTTGATGACTTAATGCAAGAGTTCGCTGATGTATTTGACAGCTCTTTAGATGAATATAAGGGCACCTCTATTTCCCTAAATCTAGATCCCCCAGGTTGCGCCCATCCGCCTCATTCCCCTAGCCCTGAGGGGGAGGGTGGATGCCGAGCTAGACAAGTTGATAGCTCAGGGAGTACTAGAGCCTGTGAATCATGCCCCCTGGGAGACCCCTATTGTTATTCCTTTAAAGGCCAACCGCTCAATCAGAATCTGCACGGATTTCAAGTCAACGCTAAACAAAGCATTGCAAGCCCACCCCTATCCTGTCCCAGTTGTGCAACATGTGTTGCACTCGTTGGGACAGGAGAGGGTCTTTGCTAAAGTCGACTTGGTGCAGGCCTATCAACAGCTGCTGGTAGATGAGGCTACCATGGCTGTGCAAACAATAGTAACTCACCGTGGTGCATTTAAATGCCACCGACTCCAATTTGGAGTCAATGTCGGCCCTGGCCTCTTTCAGAATCTCATGGAGCGCTTGCTCCATGGGGTTATGGGTTTGATTTCCTATTTTGACGATGTTCTGGTCGCTGCCACCAGCTGATCAGAACTCATTGGAAAGCTTTGGGATGTGTTCCGCAGTTTCAGACAGTCTGGCCTCAAGCTGAAATGGTCCAAATGTTGATTAGGGATCCCCTCAGTGAATTCCTTGGTTATCTGATTGATAGCCACGGAATCCATCCAACACCAGCTAAGGTAGAAGGTATCTTGACCACCCCAATTCCTAAAACAAAGGCTGACCTACAAGTCTTTCTAGGACTTCTTAATTTCTACTCCATTTTCCTCCCTCATAAAGCAACAGTCACAGAGCCTCTCCATCACTTATTGGACAGCATAACTCCATGGGTTTGGACCAGCCACGAAGCACATGCGTTCGTGGCTGTCAAACAGTTACTGACATCCTTGGCTGTGCTGGTCCAGTACAGCGAGCACCTCCCATTGGTACTGGCATGTGACACCTCCCCTTTTGGCTTCTTGATATTCCTCAGAAAGAGTTTACTGTATTTTTCGGAGTATAAGACACACCCTTTTCCCTCAAAAGAGAGGCTGAAAATCTGGGTGCGTCTTATACACTGAATGCAGCTTTTTTGCCTCCCTAAACTCCGCCCCTTCACCAAAATGGCCGTGCATAGCTTTTAGAAGGCTTTCAGAGAGCGCCTGGGGGCTAGGGAGGGCAGAAATGAACGAAAAACGGCCTGTTTTTTGCCCCCCCAGACCCCAGCAGCACTTTATAAGCTTCCTAAAGGCTATCCATGCCCTTTTTTGACAAAAAACAGGCTGTTTTTTTGCTCGTTTTTGCCCCACCCCCCACCCCCGGGAGCACTCTACAAACCTCATAAGGGCTATTCATGCCCTTTTGTTGAAGAAAAAAGGCCCTGTTTTTGCAAAAAATGGGCCGTTTTTGGGAGGTTTGCAAAGTGCAAAAAAATTTCCTCTTCAAAACCTTGCTGCATCTTATACTCTGGTGTTTCTTATACTCCAAAAATATGGTAAATCACACATTTAAACTTGTTTTCCTTGTCTGAAAACAAAATGTAATTTTTCAGCAATGTACCTCTTGGGGAGAAACATTTTGCATAGAGGCCGTATTTAAGGAAACTTTTTTAATATATCCCATGAATTCCAAGAGCCACTCCATTCGTTTTAAGACTCCTGTAAAAGCAAAAGCAGAGAGGTCAAAATCACACACTCATTTTCAAATGTTGTAATCATAATCTTATGGACATTTTCTCCACATGTCCAGTCGCAACACAAGTAAGAGTTCCACAACCACTCGAAAAATATGGTAAATCACACATTTCAACTTGTTTTCCTTGTCTGAAAACAAAATGTAATTTTTCAGCAATGTACCTCTTGGGGAGAAACATTTTGCATTCCCTTCAGATATATTGAAAAATGATGTGCATACTGGATTTAAGGGCCTAAATAGTTACTATTAGAGTATTGCTTTAAATATTTTCTAATGGTCAATAGGTGGCAGTAGCTAGTTACTTCTTGGATGGGAGGCAACCAGGAAATCCCAGAATAGTTCCAGATTAGACATGAAACTCAAAAAGCATATCAGAAGATGGCAATAGAAAAAAAAAACTATTGAAATAAAGAGAGGTACGAGACAAGGTTGCCCATTATCACCATTACTCTTTGTTTTAACATTAGAGGTCTTAAACAGAAAGATTAGAGAAGAAGAAGAAGAAATAAGAGGAATGAAAATTAAGAAAGAAGAATATAAGCTACAAGCGTTCGCAGATGATCTAGTCTTTATTCTTGAAGATCCATTAGAAACAGCACCCAAACTGCTGGAAAGAATAGAGGAATATGGAAAAGTAGCAGGTTTGAAAAGCAACACAAAAGGAAGAGTTGTCAGAAACTTTGCAGATTCAAATTACAAGCAAGGTTAAATATTTGGGGATATATCCATCACCTAGATGCAGTACTCTTAAGGAGGACAATTATACTAGACTAAAACAACAAATAGCAACTGATCTGATGAAATGAGAAAATTTGCATCTATCAATGATGGGAAGAATTTCTACAATTAAAATGAACATTTTACCTAGAATTTTGTACCTGTTCCAGAC